AACTCATTCTAATTGTATCATCTCCTAATTGCGCCCCCATCATACCACCCTGTCTCTCGGACCGGTCACACGGAAATCTCACACTAACCATTTCACTCTTTTCCCAGGTTTTTCCCACTCGTGGAAAACAGCGAAGCCCGCCATGTTGAACAGTGCGGCACGCCCGCCGGAAGCAAAGCCCGCCAAGCACATACTGGCCAAAAACCACGCGCCAAGACGTCCACGTGACCGACTGCCATGAACTCCACAGGACGAGACATGTCACGTTGTCCTTGCGGCAAACCCCGTCAGGAAATGCGTGCGGCAAGGATGCAGGCCCGCCATATCTTACGCAGCGGCCAGTATTTGAGCCGCCATCTTATGCCACTGAACACGGTATTTCCACAGCCATGCGCGCAAGAACAAAGACACCACCATGATGCACCCTTCCCGCCACGGCACTATTGCGGCAAAACCGAGCCCGCCATCTTGTATGCCAACCAAACCGCTTTTCTGGGCAATACCGTTGGCCGAAACATGCCATTTTCAGCCCTGCCCCTGTCTTCCTCCTGTCATTCTCAACCGGCCTATGTTACGTGACATAGGACAACCCTGTTTTTTTTCTATCTCATGACACCGTACGAAACTCCTAACGAACCCTAAGTCGGCTGGTTCATCCAGTGCGCAACACTGCCATCCGCCTGTCCTGCCATCCACTTGGTCTCCCTGTTCGATACCAAGCATGAGCCAAGTACCCATCGGGCGAGCTGCGTAGCTAACTGGCGGCCATCTTTCCTCCGCAGCGTGGCTAACCAGCCTGGCAGCATAGCCACCTGCCTGCTAGAGCTTTAAGTCGCTCACGTACCACCGAACGATTAACGGCGAAAAGAGACATATCAGATAGTACAACGAACCACTGAAGACAACCAATTTTCCGTGCATAAAAGACCGCGATGGGCGATTTAAAAAAAAAATCTAAGCAGGTATCCGCGGCCCCGATGGGCAAGGAAAAAAAAAATTTAAAGCAGGTATCCGAGGCCCCGATGGGCAAGAAAAAAAATAGTGAAAGCAGGTATCCGAGGCCCCGATGGGCAAGAAAAATAGGAAAAAAAAAAATAGCAGGTATCCGTGGCCCCGATGGGCTAGAGAGTTAGGGGATTGGGGATGAAGAGGGGACACAGCAGGTATCCGCGGCCCCGATGGGCTTAAGGGGGAAAAAAAATTAAAAGCAGGTATCCGCGGCCCCGATGGGCAAAATATAGAAAAAAGAAGCCGCAACGAAAAACCTTTGCAAAGGAAAATTCTATTAAAATAGAAAATGGCCAAAAAAATAGGAGCTGTCAAGAAATACGAGACGACAACCCATTTTAAAAATATTTAATAGAATTTTGGTGGATTTCTAAAGAAGAAATGTACTATAAATAGTGGTTGGGAGCTGAGAGCTGGAACGTGTTCCAGAAAGAAGGACAGGGTGAAGATATCTGCTGTTAGCAAGCATGTTCTCCTAGGAAATAAGAAATGGCGACAGCAGCAATTTGCAGCGCTTTAAAGTGTCGGGGAGGGAACTGGGCGGAGTATGTGCAAAAGGTGTGGCCTAGAAAAAGGACTACTGGACATGTTTATGGCGTGGACAGTACAAAAATTTAGTCATACATGAGGGAAAATGAGACTTCAAGAGAATGGCAACATCTTAGAGCATTATACTGTGAATATCTGTTCTCTCAGCCCAGCGGGAGCCATAACTTCAATGGCTTCTGTAAGAGGGGGACCATAAGTCAACATACGTCAACATAGACCACTGGTGATAGAAACCTATGTAAATATTGTAACAAGAGAATAAATATTAGTTCAGTCAAGGAAAAAATGAAAAAAAAGCATTGATATGTTAATGAAGTATGTAAATATCTCATTTACCCCGAGGGTATAACTTGCCATCAAACTTTTGAACCCAAGAACCCAAGAAGGGACAACCCATAAAGATGGCAAGAAATCTGACCGTCCACGAGAAGCAATTCATCTCATAAACAGACCTACATTTGTCATAGAAACAATAGTGAAATAACTGTAGACAAGACTACCTGTAATGATCATGATATATTTGAAAAACAGCCGTAACTGTAAAAGGCAGTAGCTACAACACTTCGATATCGCTCAGTCATCAGGAGAAAAAAGAAAGGTTAATGCCTGGGATCTCGGCCTGGACTAACCAACAGGACCTAAAAAGCAAACCAACTACCAACAGCAGAAATACTATCAGGCCATCTAAACAACCAGTCTTAAACTTGTCTAAAAACACCTTAAAAGGTGAAAATATAAGTGATAAACTGGTTGAGGATTGCGGCAAGTAAACCCTAGCCGCGGGAGAATTGCCGCGCTAGATCTCTTGCATTGGTTTTTTTGTTATTTCTTTCATGAGGGTACTCCAACAGCGTGGCGCTAGAGCGCTGATTTGAGGTGAGTCAATCACATCGGACAAAGGATGTTTTCAGGCTCTGGGTTACCAAGGTAAGGTCTATGGCCCAAAGAACGGCAGACGCAAGACATCTACGTTTCCATACAAACGGCTTCCAAAGAGCCATTGGATTGCAAGTAATAACCTTTTCTCTTACTAGGAGATATGAAATTAGCCAGGGTTGGTGCATTTGACAATAAAAAAAACATGAAGAAATGTTTTCCGGACCTGAAAAGGAAGAGATGGTACGCGGACGTTAGAAGAATTTTCGCGTAAGCTGAATTTTCGCGTAAGCTGTTGAATAAACATATATAAATACCTCTTCTGTGTCCGTTATTCTAAATCTTAATTGCTAAATTACTATACCTCACATGAGCCCATGAATTTTATAATATGTTTTTAATCAGATTATATAGAAAGGGACTATACAAAACTATTTGTCTAGGACCCTGCATCATGCCCCAGAGTAACCCTGTTTTCTCCCACCATTTATCACCTGCAGGCTTTATTTATCCCAGATTCATGGCATACACCAGGAATTATATGGACGGAAAGAACCGAGTCCTTTTTTAAAAAGATTCCAATTATTTTACTTCTAGGCTTGTCACTTTGTTAGCATGTACTTCTTCCCGGCTTAAGTTAAAAGAAAAAGGTGGGAATTTGCTGATTTCGCCACCAGATGGCAGCATGAAATTATGAAGGAAACAATGAGCAAGCTGCAGGAAATGCGCCAAGGTCTAATATCAAGGCCAACCAAGGTCTGAGTGGAAAGGGAAAACTTATACATGTTCAGTATCAGGAAAAGAGAAAACAAAAAGTACTCTATTCCCTCTAATTTGAACAGTCCCTACTCTCCCCCCACCCCAGGAAGATTGTCCTTGGCTTTGATGCAGAACCATTTAAAGAGGACTTAGATGAAGCATCCAGGATCAAATTAACAGGCTGGTGTAAAACAACACTCCTTGAACAATCAATGGATCAAAAAATAAAAAAGGAAAAAATAGACAAACGAAAATGAAAACGACATAAGGGAAAGCTTATAGTGACAAATGCGCGCGTAAAGAAAAAAGATCTAAAATAAAAAACCTGGCTTTATCATATCACTAGAAAAAGAACAAACAGCCCCAAATTAGCAGAAGCGAGAAAATAAAAATCAGCAGAAATAACTGAAAGAGAGTAGAAGAAAAATAAAAGAGATCAATGAAACCACGAGCCGGTTTTTTTGTGTGAGAAAATTGGCAGGCCTTTAACTAGACTAAGAAAAAAATAGACTCAAAATTAGAAATGAAAACAGTTTGCAACTGATATCACAGAAACAGTCATAAGAGGCTACTATGAATAAATATGTCAAGAAGTTGGATCATCTGGAATAGATCAATTCCTAGAGACATACAACATACTGAGACTAAATCATGAAGAAATAAAAATTTGAACAAAACTATAACTACTACGGAGATTAAATCAGTTATAAAAAGTCTAAGAAAAGGCCAAACCCAAATGGATTCACTGGTGATTCCTCCTTGACATTTAAAGAATTAATGTCGATACTTTCCAAACTCATAAAAAGCCCACATTACACAGATACCAAAACAAGACAAGGACTCTACAAGAAAAGAAAATTATAGGCCAATATCCCTGATGACAAAGACTTTGAAATATCAAGAAAATATTAGCAAACCAAATTCAACAGCACATGAAAAGAATGATACGCTGTGATCAAGTGGGATTTACCCCTGGATGAAAGGATGGTTCAACATAAGTAAATCAAATGTGATACACCACACTAACAGCATGATCAAAATCACATAATCATCTCAGTAGGTGCAGAAAATGCATTTGACAAAATTCAACATCTTTTAATGATAAAAACTCCCAACGCAATAAAGACCATATATGAAACACAGCTAATATACTCAATGGCGAAACACTGAAAGCTTTTACTCTAAGATCTGAGACAAGACAAGGTTGCCCACTCCCACCACTTCCATTCCATATAATACTTGAAGTATTGGCCAGAGCAATTAAGTGAGGGGAAAAAAAAAAGATATCCAAATCAGGAGGGAAAATGAGAATTGCCTCTATTTTCCGATAACAGTATCTTATATATCGAAAACCCTAAAGATTCCACCCAAAAACTGGTAGAATAAAAGAATTCTGTGACATCGCAGGATACAAAATCAATGTACAGAAATCAGTTGTATTTCTATACACAAACAATCTGAAAGAGAACATTGAAAATCCTATTTACGATGGCATTGAAAATAATAAAATACTTAGGAATAAATTTAACCAAGAGAGTAAAAGACCTGTACACTAAAAACTATGACATTGATGAGAGAAATTGAAGAAGACAAATAAATGGAAAGATATCCAATGTTCTTGGATTAGAAAAATTAATATTGTTAAAATGTCCACACCCAAAGCGATCCACAGATTCAATGCAACCTCTATTAAGATTCCAATGGTATTTTTCAGAGAATTCAAGAAGTCAACAGAACACCTAAAATTATCTCAATCCAAAAAGGCCTTCACCAAGACACATTGTATTAAAATTATCAAAAATGACAAAGAAAGAATTCTCAGAGCAGCCAGGGAAAGGAAGATGGTAACCTATAAAAGAAAACCCATTAGATCGTCGTCGGACTTCTCAGCACAAACCTTCCGAGCCAGAAAGAAATGGAATCAAATATTCAAATGGTTAAGTGAAAGGAACCACCAGCCGAGAATAATGTACCCGGCTAAACTGTGGATTTGGAGGGGAAATAAAGACCTTTCCAGACATACAAAAATTGAGAGAATTTTCCAGTACAAGGCTTGCATTACAAGAAATACTGAAATACTGAAAGCAGTGCAACTCTTACTAACAACTGGGCGTTATACGCTTAAACAATGAGATTTGCTATAGCAAGAAAGTAATGAACGTTCCGCATACATAGGGACAAATTGAGACAACGACTGAAAAGGGGATTCAAAGATCCAAATTCACAAAGGGGAATGGAGGCAAGGCACGTGCAGAAGAAAATGGACGACTATATAACATCTTGGACCATTCACAAAAATGAACTCAAAATGGTTTAAAAACTTAAATGTAAGACCCGAAACCATAAAATTCCTGGAAGAAAACATAGGGAAAATCTCGACATTATTCTTGGCAATGTTTTTTGGATGTGATACCAAAAGCATGGGCAATAAATGAAAAAAAAAAAAAAAGTAAATGAGTGAGACTATATCAAACTAAAAATCTTTTGCACCGCAAAGGAAACAATATGAAGTGGCAAGCCCTAGAATGGGAGGAAGTATTTGCAAATCTATATATCAGAGAGGGGGTTAATATCCAAAATATACAAAAAAACTCATACAGCTTAAATAGAAAAAAAAAATGATCTGAATAAAAAATCAGGAAAGGATCTAAATCAGGCCAGCCCAGAAGCTACCCGTCCCAGCATCCTTCTGAGTCCACAGAATCGAGAGGAACAAGATGAGAGGGAATATATAACCGTGAGGAGAATTGAGGGCTGAGGCAAGATTGGAATTGTGAATATTTTCTAATTCCTTTTTTCATGTAGTTACTTCGGGATTTAAGGATCCCAGATATGTTTCCCTGAAACACTTGGTTTCAGTGGCCTAAAAAATATAGGAGAAAGTGCATTAGAATAGCATTGATATCACGAAGGTAGTCTAAACCTTAGGAAATGTCACAATTTAAGCTTTAGCTAAGACCTCTACTCTAACTACACACGTGACTGACAACAGATGGGTTCCTTGCAGTGTTTTACATAAGAATGGCCATACATCAAGGTTCAAATGGGCACACAATTTTCTACCATTATCTTATCCTTGAGGCTGACAACAGCAAAATAAAGAAAAAGTAATGATGCAAATGAATAGAACAAGAGGCGTCCCATGCTGAGTTCTTGTAGAAAGCTAAAGATAATATTAGAATGTATAGAGAAACTATACCTTTGGAAAGGGATTCGGATCTCTAAATTGTCTTTTCCTTTGTTGTGCAGCACGAGCCTTCTACAGTGTTCCATATAACGTTTCATACCGTTCACCAATGCTTCACAGACAAGTTTCAGGTTTTTTTTTTTTTTTATTTACTGATTTGGGGGCTGGCATCCAGCTAGTGTATTTGTCCTCATGGACGGGGACCAAAAAAGATAAACGTTTTGATAAACACCGAGTTTTTTTTTTTTTAGAGGAGTCAGGACTTTAGCTGAATCTAAAGGAAGAGGAAGGACTTTCAGGATGGAGAATAGCATCCCGACCGACTCCTTTAGGAAGACACTTTCTGTTACAGAATTAAACAAGGAGGCGGCTAGTTTGGGGTCCATTTTCGTCATTGGCTCAGTATGAATTTAGGCCCAAAGCTTTCCCGTCTCTGTCTTCAGTTTTCCTATCTTTTCTATTAGTTTCTCGAAGCAGACCGTGATCTGTGGGGCTTGCTGGGGTGAAAATCAGAGGTTCTTGTCCACCCTCACTCCTTCCAGCTGTCACAGCTTTTGGGAAATGGCTGCATCTCTCTGGGCGTTAGTTTCCACATCTATAAAATCGGGAAAAACCAATCCTCACCCCCTCTTATCATTTTGCAATACTTCGGCGAAATCACAGAAAGACGGGTTTAGGGGGCCGGACCCTTGTGAGGGGAATTAAAGTTGAGAACGAGAACTATCTAGAAACGTGGAAAGAAGAGGGTCGGGGCAAAGGCTAACGCGAAAATTGGGGCTGGAGAAAGCAAAAGGAAACGAAGGCGAAGAAAAATGAGGACGAAGGAGGGACGTTTTGCAGGGGGACGGCAGAGCCTGGGAGAGTGCGAGCGCTCAGGGAGACGGAGGGCCGCGGCGCCGGCGGAGCCATTTGCGCAGCGCACCCAGGTTGCGTGCGGGGCCTCTTTGGCTGTGACACCCGCCGCGGGCTGCCAGCGCCCGAGCCGAACCGCTGCTCTGAGACCTAAGATGGCGGCGCCGGCCGGCCGCGGGAGTCCTGCCGGCGCCCGGGGCGTGACGAGGCCGCCAGAGACGAACCTGCTAAGCCAAGCTCAGAAACTGGCCAGTGCGTGTGTCGTGGTGAGCGCCGCACCTCACATCGGTGGGAAAGTGGCCGGCGGCGGCTTCGGGGTCGTGTGGCCGCCCGGTGGGGGGAGGGGCCGGCCTGCATTTCATTTTCCCCGCTCGCCTCGCGTTCGGATGCCGGAGAATCATTTCTGTCGCCTTAATCACCTAAGCACGACGAGTGGGGCAGATGGTGGCGGAAACTGGGCCTTAGGAGGGATGTGGGGTTGTTTTCCTCTCGCTTTTCCTTGTTTAAATGGGTTTGTATTGACACCATGCGGCCCCAAAATGAAAGCGTCTCTATCTCCCCAGAGGGCTTTCAGGAACTGCCTGACCTGTCGGGCCTACCCTAACTCATCTTGCTGCCTTTCGCATGTAGACTTCGTAGTTTCCAGAAACTAATCAGTCTGTAGTATGCCTTACGGGCTAGACTAAATTTCTTTAATCCATCAACTTTTTATTTTGAGAAATATTTTTCAGGGACAAACCGTATTTTTTCTTTTTCGATTGGAGTCGACAGTATTATTTAAAACATTTTTTTTTCTATGCCCTTTAGACCCTAAATGAGGACTTTGGGGCATATAATACTTAATATTTGTTCTAGAAGCATCTCAGAGGTACAGTGTATGTGTATATAGCTAATCTTTGTTAAATGCTTATGTGGTTAAAAGAAATTTTGGTTAAGAAGTGCCCACATCTCACTCATATATTGCTGGAGAGAGTATGACTTGCTGCAGCTTTTTGCAAAAGTAATCTGGCAATATTTGGGGAAATAAAAAATACAGATATCATTTGACTAAACACCAAGTAGTCTGACTTTTGCAGATATATCCTATGGAGTTAAAAGTACCAGTATATTAAAACACATGAACAGGATGCCTCTGCAGCTTTGTTTTTGTGACAAGTAAGTGGGAACAACTTGTGTATCCATCACCATGACAATGTTTGAATATATTGCAGGACATTTGTGTTATGATATATTTTGCAACTGTGGAAAACAGATTCACCTCTTTACACATTTTTGATCTAGAGAATGCTATAATGGGTTGCTATGTGATAAAAGGAAGTTGCACAATATCCCATCCAGTATCCTATGTCTTTGGTGCCGATGGTGTGGATGATGAAAAAATGTAATATTAATTTTCTTTGTCTTTTTTAGGGGGGCCTTTCTGTATGTCTTATGAAATACTTAAGACATATAGACATACAAAGAACAAGACAACGAACCTCTGTTCTCACCAACCAAACATAAAAAACAAAACATTACCAATATAATTGAAGTCCTCTGTGTACCCCTCCGTCATTGCATCTCTCTTCCCTCGTCCCCAGAGGTAACCATTATTTTAAACGATGATTACTTTTCCTATGCAGTTCTTAAACTTTCGTGACACATACATTTTTTTTCTAGCATGGGTTATTTTTTTATAAATTTCGAAGAGAAATTTTAAAAAGAGAAGTCAGTTAAAAAGATAAATTTTTAAGTGCCATTAATCTGGATTACAGTAACAGGCCAATTGAAGTTTCTTATGAATTGAGGGTAAAATCTAATTAAAAAAAAAAAACCCAAAACAAGGTAAGTCTTGGAAAGGAAGTAGAGAAACTGGACATTGCTGCTGGGTTATAAAGTGATGCAGCCACTGTGGAAAATAATTTGGCGATTTCTCTATAAGTTAAACTCAGAATTACATACTTCCTTGCCAACATTTCTTATTTCGTTTTGGGTTTTTAAAAAAATTACAACCATCCTAATATGTTTGAAGTGGTATGTCATTGTGGTTTAGACTTGTGTTTCCTTAATGACTAATGATTTGGGGCATATTTTCATGTAAATTGGCCATTTGTGTATTTTCTTTCTAGAAATGTGTATTCAAGTCATTTGACCATTTAAAACAATTTTGTTGCTTTTGAGTTGTAAGAATTCTTTATTCTGGATAGTGGACTATTATCATATATATGATTTGCAAACCTCTCCTCCCCCATTCTTTGAGTGTTTTTACACTTTCTGATAGTCCTGTGGTGCACGATTTTTCTTTTTAATTTGAAGTCCAGTTGATCTGTTTTTTCTTTTGTTGCTTGTGCTTTTGATATCAAATCTAAGAATTCTTTGCCAAATCCAAGGTAATGAAGACTTAGCCCTGTTTTCCTCTTAAGTGTTCTATGGTCTTAGCTCTTATGTTTATGTCGTTGATCTATTTCGAGTTAGTTTTTGTGTATGATGTGAGGTCCAACCTTATTCTTTTACATGTTTATAGCTAGTTGTCCCAGCACCGTTTGTTGAAGAGACTTTATTTCCCACTGTATGGTCTTGACACCCTTTTTGAAATCAATTGGCCATAGATATATTGCTTTATTGCTGGTCTTTCAGATTTATGTCATTCGTCTCTGTGTCTATACTTATGCCGGTACCACACTGTTTTGATTACTATAGATTGTCATAAATTTTAAAATTGAGAAATGTCAGTCCTCTAACTTCATTCTTTTTCAAGATTGTTTTGTCTATTCAGGGCCCCTTGCAGTTCCGTACGAATTTTAGGATCAGCCTGTCCATTTTGTTTTAAGTCATATTAAAAAAAAAAAAGAGAGAGAGAAAGAGAGGAGTTCTAAACCAAAAATACAGTAATACTGGCTTTTATGTTCACCTGTGTAGTAGTTACCTTTACTCGTGTTCTTTATTTCTTCATCTACGTTTAATTGAGAAAATACCCGGCTCTTTTTCAAAGCGGCTGCGCCATTTTGCAGCGTGCGAGGGCTCTAACTTGTCTGGTTCTCACCACTATTTATCTTTATTTGACTTTATGCAATTCTAGGGTTTCTAACGGGTGTGAAAGTGGTTATTTCATTGCGGGCCTCTTTTCCCACCGGGTTAGTCCCCCCATGTTGCTCTTTAGGGAAGTGCAGTTTGAATATGCCCCCAAGCGGTGGGAAAGAGGGTGGCTTCGTTAGGGCTGTTTCTCTGAGGTTCTCTCCATTCTAGGCTACTCGCTGTGAGCTCTAAGTTCATTGTTTTTCACAATGCCCCGGGGCACAAACTGCTCTGAAACTGACCGCCATCGAACTGCGAGTCTTTACAAGGAATAGTTTCCCAGGTTATTGTTGTTCGATGTTTGTTCTGGCCCCAGGAGGGCACCTCCCTGTTGCCTTTCTGCTTAGTTGTCCTGTGCACTAAGGGCCCCGCAGTTCAGCCTGAATTTTGCATCTTCTAATTGTCTTTCACTGCGACCTTTCTCTCTGTTTCAGGACTCTGTGCGCTCTGGCAAATGAAGTCAGCCGGTCCGGGAAGCGCTTAGCAGCCGTCTGTTTTAGCATCTGCTTCTTCCGTCAAGCACCATCTCTGGTGGCGGGGTTGGGGACTGTGGCCAGAGGTCCTTGCGGTCCCCTTCTCCTTAGCACCAGGGGGAGGGGAGTCAGGGCCCAGTCCTCTCCATGCGCCACGCCTAGTTCAAGTCTGCGTTCCATGGGGGGGGAGGGGCGAGGGACTTAGGTGGCATAAGCACCCCTCCCTCTTGTCCAGGACTCGGCCCTTGCGGCAGCAGTGGAGGCTGGAGGAGAAATCCCGATGCCTGTTCCTCCTGGGAGGAAAGTCCTGTGAATGGGACCTGAGTGGGAGAGGGAGCCCTGTGTTCTTGGCCCGGGGAGTCTTGAAGTGCAGGGGGTGAGCAGTCTTGGTTCAGATTCCACAGACTCACCTTTTTCAGTGAATTTTTGAAGATGCTCTCGAAGAGATATTTCTTCACTCCGTTTGTCCTTAAAACCGTTTCCAAAGGCTCTCAACGGTTGCATTTTTTTCAATAGTTTTTATCAGTTTCAGTGGGGAGCAGATCGCTGGAGCTTCTCACGCTGTCATAAGTTGATCTCTTTACTGCAGAAAGATAGTTTTGTCAAATAGAGATTTGTTGGTTGACAGTCCCCCCTCCCCCCGCCACCACTTTATTTTATTTTATTTATCGCCTCCAGCACCCGGTCTTCCCAGGGGGCCTCCCACCCGAGTACGCACCAGGCCCGACCCTGCTGAGCTTCCGAGATCCGCGGGGATCGCGCGGTGCAGGGTGGAGTGGCCGCAGACTCCGCCACCGCTTTAAACGTGTCGTTTTGCTACCTTCTAGCCTCCATGGTTTCTGATGATGAATTCCTTCTCTTGCTGTTAAGTCATTGTTTGTTTTGGGTTTCAACAGTTCGATTATGCTGCATCTCAGCGTGGCGCTCATTGAGTTTATGGAGGTTCATTGCATTTCTAAAGATATGTCCGCTGGCCATTGTTTCTTCAGATAGTCTCTGCCTCTTTCTCTCTCTCCTTTTCTTCTGGACCTTTCCTTTTGAATGTATGGTGTGCTTGCCGCCGGCTGCAGGTCTCTTAGGCTCTTTTCATTTTTCTTTTTTGGTTTCTACTCCTCAGACTCGGTAATCTTAGTTTACCCATCTTCGTGGTCATTTATTCTTCTACCTATTGAAATCTCATGGTGAACTCTAAAATTCAGTGAACTTTTCATTTCAGTTATTTTATCGTTCAGCTTCAGGATTTGCATTTGGTTCTTTTTTGCGATTTCTGTCTACTTACCGCTATTTTCTGTTTACTGATACACTATTATAATTTCCTTTAGTTTTTGCGCATGGCTTCTTTAGCTCTTTGGCATATTTATGAGTTGATTTTTCTAGTAAGTCTAATGTTTGGGCTTCCTCAGGGACTCGTTCTGTTCTTTTTTTTCTTTCCGTGAAGGGGCCATACTTGTTTCTTTACATGCCTAATAAATTTTCATTGAGAAGTAGGCATTTTGAATTTTATAATCTGATGGCTGTGGAAATTAGAGTGTTCCCTCTCCTCGCGGTTTGCTGCTGTCGCTTATGGTGAGCTGCAGTCATCCATTCGTTTAATGACTTTTCTTTAAGTGACAAAATTTACAGCCCCTTTCTTCATCAAGCACTGTCCTGATTGTAGTAAGTTTCTGATTAGAGTCTAGGAAAAGTTCTGAAAAAGTTGATTCTGACAGCTTTCGGCAGCTCGATGGTTTCAGTGGCGGCGCGGGTCCCAGGCACTCCCCACCCTGCTGTTCTGGTGCTGTCCTCTGGCCCCGTACATCTGGGTACGTCGGGATTTCATTACAGTTCGGGTCACAGCATTTTTCTAATTTGCCAGTGATTTCTTCTTTGACTCGTGAATAATTCAGAAATGTATTTAATTTCCAGGTATTTGTGGAATTCCAAATTTTTCTTTTTCTTTTTCTTTTTGAAAACAATTCCACTGTCTAGGAGAACAAGCTCTGTTTGATTTCAGCCCTGTTAAATCTCAGTTATTTTTTGGCCTAGCACAGAGCTTTTCAAACTATGGCTTGTGGGTCAGATCTGGCCCGAACTAAGAATAATTTTTACATTTATAAGTAGTTTCAAAAAATTCACAAGCAAAATAATATTTCTCAACTCATGAAAATCACATGAAGCTTAAATTTCATTGCTCACAAATAGTTTTACTGGCACACAACCATAAGTCTCTCTGTGGATGCTTTTTCATGCTATGACAGCAGAATTGAGCAGTTACAGAAGTGACCATGCGGCCTGCAAAGCCTAAAATATTTACTAGCTCTGTCTCTTAATGAAAGAGTTCCTTACCCGTATTTTAAACAAACATCACTTGTACCTGTATCTCTATAAATTATTCTGTCACCACCCCCTCATCAACAATCATTGAGGAAAGATTTCATGCTATAGCTTTTCTCTTAAACATGGAGTAAAACTATTTACTCCATGTTAAAATTATTCTTTCTGCATCTTAACCATTTTACCAAGTTCAAAGGCAGGAATAAAACTCCACTGAACAAAAATATTGCTGATGTATGAGAAAAATTAGTTATGTCAATAATTTTTTGTCTTGAACCTTTCTGCACCTTCCAGCCTAGTGTTTTTCAAGCTTAAATTTGCCAATAATAATATATATCGAACCGTTTTAACTTAAAGTAATCTATACTTACTAATGTACATGTAAGCGTTCTGCATAGTCATCCTATGTTTTAAAACCGTTTTCCTCATTAATGTTATACAGACAATAATGTTATTTTATATCTCTCAAGATCTGCCATAGAGCTGTGGTTCCAAATACGTTTTTAGTATTGAATTTTTTTTTTCCTTTCGACACCTGTGCTTCTACCCTCAACTCCCACCGCGCCCCCCCCCCAACAATTTGTTCTGTATCTGTGAGCTCGGTTTTTTGTTGTTTTATTTAGACTCCACACGTAAGATCATACAATATTTATTTGCCTTTCTCTGACTGTCTCACTTAACATAATGCCCTCTAGGTCCATCCATGTTGTCGCAGATAGCAAGATTTCATTCTTTCTCATGGCTGAGTCATATCCTATTGTATACATATACCACGTATTGTTGATCCATTCATCCATTCATGGACACTTAGTTGTTTCCGTTTCTTGGCTGTCGTAAATAATGCTGCAATGAACATGGGGGTGTTTTTCTTTGCTTTGGATGAACACTCAGAAGTGAAGTGCTGGGTCCTACGGCAGGTCTATTCTTAATTTTTTGAGGGCCCTCCATAATGTTTTCCATAGCGGCTGTAGCAATTTGCAGTCCCGCCAGCAGTGTGTGAGGCTTCCTTTTTCTCCGCATCCTCTCCAACACTTGGTATTTCTTGTCTTACTGATAAGAGCCATTCTAACAGATGTGAGGTTATATCTGATTGTGGTTTTGATTTGCATTTCCGTAATAGCTAGTGATGTTGAGCATCTTCCATCTGCATATCTTCTTTGGAAAAATGTCTCTTGAGATCTGCCCATTTTTTAATCGGATTGTATAAACATCGTATGCCAATAATTTTTGACTGCCACTATGTTGGAAAAGAATGGGAAATTAACAAAACTTTTACATCGAAAAATGAATAAAGCGGGTTAAAAAAGAAGTCAGGCCAGTATAGATCTGGAAAATATGAGGAGAAAAATCTACAAATCAAAGCTGACTCCAAAGTAACATGATAGAATTAATAATTTAAGACCTTTAAAAGTTATTATGAATGTGGAAGAAAGACTGAAAATGTTAAATTGAAGAACTAAAGATATAAAAAGATTTTAACTTCTGAGAATAAAAACTATAATTGATTTTTAAATTTTAAGTCGTTTAGTTTTCTGTTATCTTTTTATCATTAATTTCTAGTTTACTTATATTTGAAAGAATATTTGTATAATTTCAATTTTTTAAATGTATGTTAGGCTTTGCTCTATGTGGATGTGACATATGTACTTATAAAGAATGTGGATTCTGCTGTTGTTGGGCTGAGTGGTGTTTAACCACCGAAAAGGTTTCCTTGGTTGATGATTTTGTTCAGTCTTCTATACCTGGGTCATTTGTTTTATTTTGTCAGTTTTTGTTTCATGTATTTTGAAGCTCTGTTAGGTGCACATACGTATGATATTGCTGTGGCGTCTTGTTAAATTGACCCTTTTATCGTTAAGGAATTCTCCTCATCACTGGTCATTTTCTTTGCTCTGAAATCTGTTTTTGTCTTTAATGACTATAGAGAGTCCTGTTGTTTCGGTTGGCGTTTGCATGGTGTATATCTTCTCGTATATCTTCTCATTTCTTTAAATTTAGTTTGCCTATATCAATATACTTGAAGTCTGTTTCTTGTAGACAGAATATTGAGATGTCATGGGTTTAATGGTTTTTTAGTTTTTTTTTTTTTTTTTTTGGTCATTTTGACAATTTCTCTGAGTTTTGGTGCTTAATCCATTTACATTTAATATAAATATTGATATATTTAGATTTATGTTTACTACTTTTTTCTTTGTTTTGTTTTGTTTCTTGGTCTCTCTTTACACTCTCTTCTGCCTTTTGGGTTATTTGAACACTCTTTATTTTTCCCTTATGATTTTATTGTTACCAGCACACTCTGTGTCTCCTTTCCTCCTACCACTGTCAAAGTAGCTGATTCTTTGTGTCCTTAGTTGGAGAACTTCTGTTCAGTTAGAATTCAGGCGGTTCTCAGAGATGGTTGTTCTGTAACTAATTCTGCTGTGGTTGTGAGAGGTGAGCACAGCGTTTACCTACTCCGCCATCTTGACCCCTAACTTATGCAGTTTTGTTTAAATCATCTAAGAAAAAATGAGTAAAACATTTGTTTCTGTCATTTACATTTACCTATGTAATTAGCTTTTCTGGTCCTGTTCATTTTTTTCATATGGATTTGAGTTTAAGTAATTTTTTTTTAGCCTGAAGGAATTTTTTTTTCTTTTAAAAAAGAAATAAATTCCCTTAGTACTTTTATTTGAGTCCGAATTTTTCCTCATTATCTTAAGATAGTTTTTCTGGATGTAAGATTCTTGGTCGTCACGTGTTTTTCTTTTAGCACTTTGGATGCACCATGCCCGCACTGCCTCTGGTGTCCATTGTTTATCTTGAGAAATAACCCGCAGAGTTTCTTGGGATCACTTGTATGTGATGTGTCGCTTTTCTCTTGCTGTTCTCATAATTTTTGTCTTTGCTGGAAAGAACAAAGCATTAATAAAATAAAGAAGATCTAGATAAATCGGGATAAATACTATATCCATGAAATCAGAAGATGCAGTAACATTTGTGATACTGTAATTTGTAAGATTTATATTTATAAGATATATATATATATATGTTCATCCAGATGCCCAAGATATACTTGTCTTATATATTTGGTCTCTGTCCACAATTCTTGGATCACAGCTCCTAGAACTCTTGGAATTTTCTAAGTGTTGAGAATAGAAAAGGGGTCTTTTGTTATGTTAATATAATTTTTAGAAAGCGCCTAAGAATGGGGCATGGTTGCCAGGAGACCCGACCATGTGATTAGAGGGCTGGAACTCTTAGTTCTATCCCCAACCTCTTGGGAGAGGAGAAGGGCTAGAGATTTAATCAGTCCCCAAAGGCCAATGATTTAATTAATCATCTCTCTCTTTTTTTTTTTTTTTTTAAAGAAATCTCCAGAAAATCCCTAGCGGGCAGGGTTTGGAGAGCTTCTGGGTTGGTGAACATGTGGAGATGTGGGCAGAGTGGTGCCTGGAGGGGGCCTGGCGGCTCCGTGCCCCTCCCCACGTACCTTGCCCTATGCGTCCCTTCCATCTGGCCGTTCCTGAGTTACAGCCTTTTATGATAAACAGTGACCCAGTAAGTAACACGTTTCCCTAAGTTATGTGAGCCGTTCTAGGAAATTAGTCAAACCCAAGCAGGGGGTTTGGGGAACCTCTGATATATACCCAGTTGGTCAGAAGTACAGGGGACAGCCTGGACTTTCGATTGCCATTCAGAGTGGGAGGGCTCATTGGAACCTCCAATCTTTGGCCAGCTGGTCAGAAACACAGATAACTGGGACTTGTGTCCGGTGTACGAAGTGTGTGTGTATGTCGGGGACAGTCTTGTAGGACGGAACCCTTGAACCTTTGGAATCTGGCTCTTTTTCTGGTAGACAGCATCAGAATTGAGTTGAATTTTCAGACACCAGGGTAATGTGAGGGATCCCCCCACCACCACCACCACCTACAGTGGACTTGGGTGTGAGAATCCAGTTTAATGTATAATCTCCCTAGTTTTATCTTGCCGACATAAGAAACACCAGTCCACACCAGTAGAGCATTTTTATGAGTTTATTTGAGCCAACCTGACAGTTAGGAAGCAAAATCTCAAGAGATTGAGAAAATGCTCCGGGGAATGGCCGTTTTGCAGCTTCTTTTTACATTAGAATCAAAGGAGGAGAAGTAAGGAGGGTTACACGAAACCCTTGGGTGGGAGATAAAGGAAGCCAGAGAAGGCAAATCGGGGAATCGCTGGGGCTGGATGAAAAGTAAAATGGGGAAACACATACTTCTGTTTCTTGGGTGGGTACAGGAGAGAGAACAATTAACATTCACAGCTCATAGAGATGGTATTCAGGGAACTAGATACCAGTGAGGGGTTCTGTGGTCTCCTGCTCTGGTGGGAGGTTGTACCCGGAGGGGTCTGGAAAAGGAGATTACTCTGGCATTCCAAAGGTCTGTTATCTTAGATGCACAAAGACAGTAGATAGGCTCACTTTGACTGACCTTTGTCAAGGAAGCTACAGGCCCGGAATGTGGCTCCCTGCCAGGACTGGATTTAAGTTAGGAATTTTGATGTTCAGACCACCTTATGTGGCTACATTCAGTCTCTGCGTCTGTAGGGCCCGCCATGCAGGCCGCCTCTGAGCTTGTCAGGTTTAGTATGTGGCCCCCCTTTTCAGTGTCACCCTAGTCAAAATCTAAGCAACCTCTTTTTGCGGATATTGCCAAACTTATTCTAAAATTTATGTAAAAACAAAGAAACTAGAATAACCTAGTTTTACTTCTGAAAATAGTAAAAGAAGTTTGAAAGCTCACACCACCTGATTTATACACTTACAGTAAGGATGGAGTAATCAGTACTATGTGGTTTTGGTGAAAGGAACCGACAGTCAGTGGGAAGAGTCTGGGAGTAGACCCGCGCACATCTACTTAATCATCTCCACAGGGCTGGAAAAGGCCAATGTAGAAAAGATAGTCTCTTTAACAAAAGTGCTGAAAAAGTTCGAGGACCACATATAAAGAACCTGTGAACTCATACCTTGCTCCTTATACAAATCTTAATTAAAATGAGTCACAGAGAAACTATGTGACATCTTGAAGGAAACAGGGGAAAACATGTATTTTTGGAAACAGCACCAAAGGCACGATATTAATGCTAACTGAAAATTTTGTTTCTTAAGGTAACTGAAAATTTTGTTTCTTAAGGGAGTATGGCATTTTTTGAAACAGACTTTATTTTTCAGCGCAGTTTTAGGTTCATAACAAAATGGAGAGGATTTCCCATATGTTCCCCACCCCACACATACATTACCTGCCCCCTTATCAGCATCCCCCCCGACAGTGGCACATTCGTAATTTAGAACCTGCACTGACACGTCTTCGTCCAAAGTCCGTAGTTTACCTTAGGGTTTCTTGCTGTCCTACCTTCTGCAAGTTTGGACAAATGTATGATGACATGTGTCATTAAGATACCATGCAGAGTCTCTGCTCTAAAAGTCCTCCTTTCCACTTATTTATCTTCCTTCCCGCCAGCCTCTGGCAGCCACTGATCTTTTTACTATCTCCATAATTGTGTCTGTTTGCATCTTAGTCGTGGTTGTTTTTGTTGACCTGTGTTCCCTGATTCTTCATTTATGTCGAAATTGCGCAAGGATTACAATATAGATACCTTGCAGTCACTAACAGTTTATATAGTTTTAATGTTTTACCACTTCAAGCAAAATAGAAGCTTTTACATTCATATAGATCTGGGTTTTTTAAGATGCCTTGTGTTTTACATTTACGTAATTTGAAAGCCTACTAGTCTGTGTAAAGGTTTTCTTTTCAAGAGTCAACATATTTAAAAGAAGTTAAAGAGGAAGAAATAGTACCTTATATTTATTCATTTACCAATTCTCTTGTTCTTCATATCTAAAGACACTGGCTTCCCCTGGTTTTCATTTACCTTCAGACTAAGGAAGGCTTTGACATTTCATCTCAAATCTGTTTGAGATGAATTCTCTTTGTTTTTCTTTATCTAAGAATGTGTTCATTTTGCCTTCATTCCCAAAGGGTATTTTTCTAGAGAAAGAGCTGTTAGATGATGGCTGTTTTTCTTTCATCACTTTAAAGATGTTTTGCTCCCATCTTTGCCCTCCATGGTTTCCGATGAAAAATTTGCAGTTATTTGAATCGTTTTCCTGGTATGAACGGTGTTATTTTTTTATAGCTGTTTTCTGTGTTTTTGTTTTTTAGCAGTTTGACCATGGTAGTTCTGAGTGTGGTTTTCTTTTGGTTTATCTTGTTTGGGTTTGCTGAGGGGGTTGAATATGCGGATTTGTCTTTTATCAGATTTGGGACCTTTTGGATTGGTATTCCTGCAGACATTTTTTCTGCACAATTTTTTTTTTTTTAATCATTCTGGCACTCTGATGATGACTTGTATGTTAGACATTTCGGTATTGCCCTATAGGCTCTATTGGTTTCATTTCAACCTTTTTTGTTTTTCTGTTGCTCAGATTAGCTAATTTCTCTTGATATCTTCGAGTACAGCCGCTCTCTTTTCCGGTCTCCATTCTGTACTGAGATCTCAAGTGAATTTTTAAATTGTAGATGCTGTAATTTTTAGTTAAGATTTTCAAATTGCTTCTTTTTAAGTGTTAATAGGGGTAAAATATACCATAAAATTATTCACCGTATGTGCACAATTCATTTATTTTTAGTAAATTTGTATCATGTGCTGCCTCACCACAATCAGACTTGTACATTTCAATATTTCCAGACATTCCTTCAAGCCCATTTATCGTCGGCCCTGTTCCCATTATCAGTACCGGGATCCCACTGAGCTCTGTCTACGAATTAGCCTTTTCTGAGTATTTCGTGTAAATGAAACATGTAATATTTATTATATTGAATTTGGCCTCCTTCAGTTATTAAAATCTTTTTGAGGGTCATCCTGTGGTAGCAAATGTCACTATTTCCTTCCCTTTCTCGAGGTGAACATTACTCAGTTTTATAGGTACACATCATTTTTGTTTCTCCATCGAGCACTCAACAGACAGTGGGATTCTTTCCCTTTTTTGTTATCCATCAATGCCGCTATGAACATTGATGTAAATGTCCTTGTAGGTTCCATTTGCTTATTGTTCATTCACATATATTTGGTGGGATATCATTTAAATCTTTTCTCCATTTCTAATTTTTTCCTCGTATCTGTTGAGGTAAGAAACATTCAAACCTGAAGAGAATTTTCATGAATTTCTTTGAGCCACTCTGACTACGGTTGCCTGGGAGCAAAATCTCAAGGGACTGAGAAAACGCTCCGGAGAGCGGCAGTTTTGCAGCTTCTTTTGTCCATTAGAATCAAAGGAGGAGACGTGAGGGGGGTGGTGGTGAGGGGGGTTACACCACGTCCACTGGTGGTGGATTAAGGGGGCCAGAGCCCGAGGGGTCTGCTGTGAAGGGGGCTGACTCTGGCATTCCAAGGGTTTGTTATCTTAGATGCTCAAAGACAACAGACAGGCTCCCTTGAGGTAAAGACTGACCTTCGTCAAGGAAGCTGCAGGCCCAGGATGCCACTTACCCGCCAGGACCTGCTTTAGTTAGGAATTTTTCTGTTCAGATCATCCCATGGGGTTAATTTTGGTCTCTGAGTTTGTAGGGGCCGCCCCTGAGCTTGTCAGGTTTAGCATGTAGCCCCTTTTGTCCACACATCATAGGAGGTCTATGTGTATGTATTTTGGACACAAGTTGTTTTTCAGAAATGTAATCTACAAATATTTTTTTCCCACTACTTGGCCTGTCTTCATCTATTATAGTGTCCATCGAACGTTAAAATGTTCAATTTTGATGTACTCCACTATGTCAGTTATTTCTGTATCTTATCTTTCATTGGTGCTATAATATCTTGATTGCTATAGCTTTAAAGCAAGTTTTAAAATATAGTAATGAAAGATCTACTGCTTTGTTGTTTTTTAAAATTGTTTCGGGTATTCTGCATCTCTTGCATTTAGGATCAACTTGCCATTTTCTACAAAAAAATTCTCTTGAGCTTTTGATATGGATTGCATTAACTTTATAGATCAGACTGGCAAGAGTTGTCTTCATAATACTATTGTGTCTTCCAACCCATGAACACAGTTTTTCACATATTTCTCGCCATTTATACATTTCCTTCAATTTCTCCAAGCAGTGTTTTGTAGTTTTTAATACATCTCTTTTGTTAAATTTATTCTTCAGTGTTTCATTCTTTTGGATGCTATTCAGAACAGAGTTCTCTTAATTTCATTTTTGGATAACTTATTGCTAATTACAGAAATACAGTGGATTTTTAGACTTTAATCTTGTGTCCTATTACTAAACTTCTTTATTAGTTGTTTTATTAAGGATTCCTTGGGATTTTCTAAGTATAGGATCATATCACCTGTAAAAAAAGAACACTTTTACTTCTTCTTTTCTAATCTCATTTTCTTTCATTTTTTTCCCCTTAATTACCACCTAGGACTCACATAATGTTGAGCAGAAGTGGGAGTGGCATCCTTGTCTGGTTCCCTTCAGGCGAAAGCATTCACTCCCTGGCCATTAAGCATAATAGTAGCAATAAATTTTCCTAGA